TCTTTCCCTTGTGTACTACTGCAGTGTGAGCTGAATGTTCAACTCCATTCTATTTATCCTCTTATTTTTCATAGTATTGCCCTGAGATATTAGGTTCCGAATACAACCCAGAGATTAGTTTTGCCGGATTTGCATTGAGCATAACAGGCCACAGACACTTAATATATTACCTGCCTTTGTAAGACTGGTTACGAATTTCCTCAATATTCTAAGGCTAACACCAGGGTATGTGCAGATCATATAAAAGATGCCAACACTTCTCTGTTCTGTCCTATTTCTCAACTATTTAAATTTATATGGAGAGCCATGTGGTTTGTTTCAGGTGGGATCTACTGTACTTCTTTAAATAAAACAGAAAAGTTCATTGAAGGCCTGGGGCTTGGCACCATAGCCTTCTGATTTCCCAGCTCTCCATGTTGAGGAAATTATGATACAGTTTATTTTATATTCATGGATACAATTTGTATTGCCTTAAACTCTTCAACAAGTATCTATTTTCAACCTTAGTTTTACTTTACTGAAATGCTGCTGTTTAGTAACTTTTACAGCCATTTCTATTTATGCATACTTGTTAGAAGTCCTCTAATATAAACTAGACTAGGTCTGCCAAACTGGCCACCTGTGAAGGGTTAAATTGCAGCCCACGGGACTTTCTGGTACAACATGTTCCTGGAACCCAGAGGGTAGACACCACTGCCGCTGGTACCCATACATTGCTGCATGCTGCTGAATTTGGGATCTTTGGTCACTGCTAGTGACTCAAATTGGCAGCAAAGGAGAAGGGGGAGAAAGTGGCAGTGGTATTCACCCCTTGGATTCCTGAGTTGTGTCAATGCAGCGGTTGTGGCAGTTATGCTGACACGCCCTCGCCCCATAGCCAGAGATGGGTTGTCAGGCCCACAGGAAGCCCTGTGGTCTGGATCCAGCCTAGGGTGCCAAACAAGTTGAACATGCCTGGATTAGGCCAAGTAAAAATTAAAAAATATTTTTTTGACAATGTAAAATTAGTCCTACTAAAAGCAAACCATTTTGGGGCTTAATTTCATTTCCTAAAGAATAGTTTCTATATAATCAGTAGCTTAATTTTCTACCATTTCTTTCAGTTGCAATAAAACCAGGAAGATCTATTTGTGGGTTAGTTTGTTTTTTATCCTTAGCAGATTAAATATACCAGGGGTGGCCAAGCTGCAGCTCCAAAGCCACATGCGGCTCTTCAGAAATTATATGCGTCTCCTTGAGTCTTTGCACAAGCACACGGTAACCAGCTTCCGACTTGTTTGGCACCCTAGGCTGGATCCAAACCGCAGGGCTTCCTGTGGGCCTGACAGCCCACCTCTGGTTACGAGGTGAGGGCTTGTCAGTATATCTGCCACAGCCGCTACATTGACACAACTCGGGAATCCAAGGTGTGAATGCCACCACCACTCTCTCCCCCTTCTCCTTTGCTGCTGATTTGGGTCACTAGCAGTGACCCAAGATCCCAAATGGAAGCTGGTCACCATGTGCTCATGCAAAGATTCAAGGAGATGCATATTAACTTCTGAAGAGCCGCATGTGGCTCTGGAGCTGCAGCTTGGCCACCCCTGAAATATACATTTTGAAAGTACCTTAAGTTAAAGAAAAAAAAATGTCTGTACAGTCTGTTTTTTAGGCTCATATTGTGTCATGTTATTCCTCAATGTACTTCATGCCTTTTCATTTTGTGTTTAACTTTTTCTGTCTATGCGGGGTAAAATATTGGTCTCTCCCTACAATTAGGAATTCTGTAAATTTCAGGGTGGGTACTGATGTTCATAGAATTTTGGATACATCTTTGATGGTTCCACTCACTGCATGGACAGTATGGCAAAGGGTCATAGTAGCAACTGAGGAATGGCTATACAGGTACTCAAGACACTGTCTCAAAAGTCTGGTAAGAAGAAGATAAGGATTACTTCTACTCAATTTCTGTATTGGCCCCCAATGGAGTTCCATTAGGTTTGAAGTAATGCTGTTTGCTTTACTTATTGCATTATAGCACGTGTTTGTAAGAAGACATTAATGAAATGTGAGCCTCTGGTTCTGGATACTGGTACTGGGAAAGGTTGTTGTTTTTTTGTTTTTTTTAATGCTTGTACTTGGAAATGTGTAGTTGATGTTTATTAATAACAAAAGAGGTTTGATTTTTTTTTTTATTTTTTTTTTTTGGCCCTGCTGGTCTATAATTTTCACTTGCAAGAGAGAAAAAAAGATGTTTTTCTACGCCCCTCCCCCAGAATTCATCATATAATTGCAGTTAGTGTTACTTTTTTCTCCTATCCCCATTTAAAATATAGTAGTGCTATTTCCAATCACATTTTGAAAAAACAGCTTGCCTTACTTCTCAGTCAGTAGCACATGTACAACTTGCTTGAATGTTAAAGAGGACAAACTGAAAAAATGTAAGGGCAGTGGAATTAATTTAAAATGGGACGTGTCAAAAAAGAAATAAGGGAGGTCATGAAGAGTAGCTCTTGCCCACCTTTTGTTGCATTTCTTGGTCATGCTTCAGGGCTTTGTTGGAGAAGATGGCTATTGAACCATTTCTGAAGGGCAGAGCAAACTTTAATTTAAATTAGTTGAATTAAAAATACAGAAAGTTAAACGCATGCTTTTATCTGTTTTGAGAGTCAGGGATTTGGTCTTAAATGAAGTGAGGTTAACCTTAGATATGCAGTTAATGCATACATGCACAAAGGGCCATTTTTCTCTTCTTCTTAGTGCAAGCATGGAGCATAGCTTGGAATTGTATAAAACAATATTTTCCCAGAAATACAGAGCACGTATGTTACAAACCTCCACAACAGTAGATCCATTTTCTGAGAGAGGATCCATGATGGCAATAATAGCTTGAAGATTTAAATATCAATGCTTGAAGTTTCTGAGGAGTATGAATGGAGATGTGCCTTGCATGTAGCTTTCAAAGTTACTAGGTTTGGTGCCCAGGACACGCATCTGGTGCATCAGATCCCAAAGCCTACTGAGAATGAATTGCCATTTTCTTTGTGTTGTTTAACTAAAGTCGTCTTTTGTATGATTTGTTTCCATGGTGGGCGTTAGGTGGAAATTGCAAATTCAAACATAATCCAGATCTACCTTATTTAGGGGTTGGTTGATAGTAACCAACAATTTTGTTTGTTGGGTTTTTTTAGTTATCTGCTGGGGTTTGTTTTTTGTTTTGTTTTGTTTTTCTCTATTTCCTGAATGGCACTGTTACAAAACATTTTTTTCTTTCTTTTTTCTTGATACTTAGATGAGTACAGGATCAAACCAGTGGAAGAAGTCAAATACATGAAAAATGGAGAAGATGATCAGAAAATAGCAGCCAGGAATCAAGAAAACTTGGTAAGGACTGAACTCATCACTCATTTAATGAAATAAACATGATCATGCTTTTGTAATATACAATGTGCCATACATTCAAACGACAGCTTGCACATCTCAAGGGGATTCTCTTGAAAATGTTGCTACTATATATATCCCTTCTATATATTGCTTGCATAGTAGATGCAAAATATTACTTTTTTCCTGCTTGTCTTTTTGAATTAGCTTGTAGTTGATCTGGGGGTAAGTGCTGCAGCACAAACAGTATTTGTATTCACACCTTTGCAAATAGGCATATGGGCAAGCCATAATAACTTTGTCCCTATCCAAAGGAGTTTTTTGTAAAGTAGAAATGTATTGGTATTAAAGAAACCACTTCAGGTAGACATCATGATTTATTCTATACTTTCCTCCTATGAATTTTGAATATATGTAAAGTCAGGAAGCCTGGGAAAGAAAGAGTTATGTAATTTAATGCAAGTCATGCAGATCATTCGTAAGTAATTTTGCACTAGGTGAAATATTTTCTGATTTTATCATTAAACCTGTATTCTACTTAAGATTTATGCGTGTATAAAACTAAAATTAGAGCAAACTAAAATTAGGTTTCCTCTTGTTCTGTCGGCATACCTGTTAATGGCTCCACTAAAACCGAAAGAGACCACGATCAACCAAAGTTGTTGTTGTTGTTATTACTTCACTTCGGTTGATTTGGCATAGAAAACAGATGTAGGTGACTTGCTTCAGGCTGACTTGTCAGAAGTCTTTTTTCCTTTTTGAAAGCTCAAAATAACACTTTTTTGTGATCTAGTTAAATTGCTCAAAGAAGTTTTACAGTAATGTAATTTGCATAAGCCACATTGAATGTGTATAGTCCCATTTCTTCAACTGAGCTTTTTTTCAGGTAGATGCTTTTTTCTAACTGGAAAACTGAAGGGAGGATCCCAAGCTGAAGTTAATGGATTTGTGACCATTTATATTAGCTATGGATTTGCCCCTCACCATAACTGGGTGGCTTTTGGGAATATCTGCCTCTTTTGTATTGCTTGTGGTGACAAACTGCAGAATTGAGCTCCAGGCACCTCTACCTATAGTACGTCCATTCATCTGTCAGGCATATATTTTGGAGCTTGTAGTACAATACTGCAGATGCATTATGACAGTAAATAGCATGGTTTGCTTTCTGACGGGTAGAACCTGCCTGGTAATTCATATTCTGCTTGAAGGCCACAGAACTATCATTTCTCCGTTGTCTCTACTCCAGAATACCTACCTATATATCTAGATAGATAGATAGATATGGATATATATATATGGATATGGATATATAATATTACATAAACACACACACATACTCCAGAGATAGATAGATAGATAGATAGATAGATAGATAGAGTGTGCAGTTTTGAATTGCTGATGCTCCCTTAAACAGCACAACTTTTAGCATGCAGCAAGATGTTGCTGAGAACATCACCTTTTCTAGCAGTATCTGCGGCATATTCAGCATTATCACCAATGTAAGCATGTTTGTTTGCTTTTCAGCTACTTTTAGGTAGTTCTGCTGCAAGAATTATCTCTAGTTTGGGAGTTATTGGGTTTTTATTGGCAAATTGAGCATTTGAGAACTGATACCTGGCTTTGATTGAATAAAATTGAAAGATTCAAGGGACTTTCCTTCTAAACTGGATTCCAGCACTGAGCTAGCAAAACTCAAGAAAGCAGGATTTCATATGAATGACAACTGGGAAGAATTTGGAACAGCTTGAGTTACTTTTAAATGTCTGGGTCATGTGTGTTGCATTTAAAAACTAGTCAGAGATATTTTAAACTTTGTTTAGTGTGTTCTTTCTTGTTGCAATATCTATTTCTTTTAATGGTCATGCTTATTAAGAAACAACTTTGAGGAAAGATGCTTCGGGGTGTGTATATTGTTTTGATGGGTTGTTTTTGTGAGGGATGGCAGTTATTTTGAAAAATGAGTTTTAAATACAGGGGTGAGGGAGTGTTACTGCTTCTTATTTTATAGGAACCTCCAAAAGATGTTGGAGGTCTTTAATCAGAAAGGATGTTTTATACTTGAAAGAAATTTTTAAAAAGAAAATAGAAAAAAAAGGTTTCATATTCAAAAAACAATCTTTTAAATTTTTTCCATCTTAGTCCACTAAAGAAAGATGACATCTGTAAATGTATTCAGTTTGTTAATCCAGGAAATAGTCAAATCATTGACATTTTTGATTTCTAAAGAAGGTTTTACTAAACTGCTTTCCCTGTAGTAAACATGTTAAATTCATAGTTTAGAAAATGGATTAAGACAACTATCAATCAGACTTTAGTTCTCCTAATCCTTGTAAAATTGCCAGTAAATTACAAAACCCTGACTTTTCATCAGATATTTCTAAAGATCAGAAATTCTAGGAGCAAGAAAAGGTCATGGGGGTGATCATCAAGACGTGGTGTTTCTTGTTTCTTAATCCCACATTTGAGCTGTTCTGCTATGATTCCCAAATCTACTTCCCTCTCAAATGAAGGTGTGTAGCTTGAGCTCAGCTGTATTTTTCAGTTATCCTGGGTTACATAACTGATTCTATATTAATTCAATTTAAGTGATTCTGCTTTTGAGTTACCTATTGTCAGTTATCATCTAATTTTTTTGGTGTCGTAATAGTGTTAATATTGGGAGCTGTCCTAGTTTATCAAGCTCTTTTACTTTTTAAATGCATCTCAAGTTTCCCTTAAAATCTCCTACTTTGACCTTCCTCCTCATTTATTTTCTTTGAAATGCTACCTTTGTGTCCCATTGTGTTGTGATCTCCAGTCATAGAAAAGTAAAAGGCTCTCCAGGTAGATAGAGGTGGTGCCAAACATTGACTGGTTCTAAGTTTATACCCTGAGCCTGTGGACCATCCAGATGTTTATTTCAATGATCAGGTCTGTGTTTCAGTTACAGTAACCTTAGCTAAAAAAAGAGAATCAGAGTAAAACAGATGCATGCTGTGACAATTCTCTTGCAAGCAGTCTCATTAGTCAACTGGAACTCAAAACTTCATTGGGGAACAAAATTTGACTGAACAGACTTTCAGGGCACATATACTATTACTGTGTGCTGACCACTATAAAATCATTGATGTAAAAGCAAAGTTATAAATAAGCTTCAAAAGCTGACATAAGGGCTAAGTACAGACATTTGGGAGCATTAGTGGGAGGTTAAATTGATTCAAAATGGCTGTTGGACAGGTAAGTAAGGATGAGGGGGCTAGAGCAGGGGGCAGGCATCACCTATGGGTGGGGTGAGGTGGGGTTCCTCCCCCTACCCCCCCAGCAAACCTATACTCCCATCCCTCCCACCCCTTCCCCCACAGGATTTACTTGCTTGGCTCCAACAGCAGCGAATGTTGATAAAAGTGGCTGCACCTAGAGTGGCTTGTGGGATGGGGTTTGAGAGGGCTGTCTGGTCAGGGACGAGAGGCAGGAAAAGCAAACAAGCCCAGTGCGCAGGGGGGGCAAAAATAGCCCAGTGCGAGGGAGGGGATGGGTGACGGGTGAAAAGAGCAGCCCTGGGGCTGGGGCCAGCGGCTGGGTTTTCCCAGCCCCAGGGCTGCGCTTGGAACATGTACAGAAGTTCCGTGCATTGGTTTAACCTAAATTAAACAAGTTTGATACTACATAGATCCAGATTTATCTTAAACTGGGTTCTGCTGTTTTTAGACCAGTTTGCATGCAGGGAACTTCTGACCAGTTACAGGTTAAGACTGATTGCTGGTCACAGAGACTGGGTCTGTAAGTGTAATGTCGGCACCGGGACAAGCTAAGTTAAATTGGGTGGCTATTTTGAACCCGAATTAACCTCCACAAATGTCTGTACTTAGTGGAAATGGAAACCTTGTTTCAGGCAAAGCTTGAGCCTTATGGGACTAATGGAGAGTTCACTTATCTAATAGATTTGAAGCAATCCTAACATTTTATTAAAACCAGTTGAGATTTGTTTTATTGTCCTTTGCTAGCATTTCTCTTTGGTGGATGTCACCCTAATTCATCTTCTTACCCTGATCATCCCTGCAGTCTCCTCGTCTCCCCTAACATACGCTACAAGTGTTATGTACCTCCTTTCTCAGCTGAATTGTCCTTTCAGACCCCATTTCATGTCCCTGTCTCATAGGCCTGTAGTTACCCTCTTTGGATACTTCTGATTTACAGATCTACCTCTCAATCCCTGATCAGTCATCTTCAATCCTACATCTTGATCTCTCTCTTTGACATCTTCCCATGTGTTACTTGCTATTATATTATACTTAATCTGGCTAAACTTGAAATCCTCACTTTTATTCCTAACCTTCCTCACCCACCTTCATTTTTGTTACCGTTGATAACACTACCAACCTTTCCCATCACTCAGGCCTGTAACCCAGAGGTTGTGTTAGATTCCTATCTCTTCCTTTTCCCAGACAACCTGGCTGTATATCTCCTCCATAGCAGAAAATGAGACCTGCTGTACTTAGTGGGAGAATCTTGAGGTAGGTGCTCCGTTAACCAAACCTCCTCAAACTGCAGTACATTTGTAACCTACTGAAAAGGGTGAGCTGTGCAGGATTCCTATATGCACTTTGAATCTAGCAATATGAGAGTGAGTGGTGGAAGTGAATTCTCACTGAGAACTTGTCCATGAACCCACTGCTAGGATATGGGCCTGATTCTTACTGTGAAGATGCAGTTTATGCATAAATTTGTGTAAGTATAATATAGGTACGCATACTAGCCAGCTAAGCCCCTAAAGTGACTGTTTGTACATTAAGGCATTTGATTTGTACATATATGCAATTGAGCTATGCTAGAAGTTTGCACCAAACTTAAAATCTGGCCAATAATGTCATTTACCTGTCACTGAATGAATTAATCTTTTTATAAGCTCAGTTAATTCACTCGCCTGTTAAATTCTTTTGTGAATTATTCATTTATTAAATTAATTCATTATGACAGAGGGTTGAACGTTTTTATACCAGTTGTAATCCCAAATGGAAATAATT